TCCATTATTAGACCTTGGAAGTATTTAAGTATGAGGGTGGAGTGCAGCTTTACAACACACCATTTAGAGCTTAAATGCAAAGTAATAGAGTTACTGTCTGCGACCTTAAAACAGCTGAGCTAATTTTAGTTCCTGTGGTCACAAATATGAACATTTTTCAGCCTAAAAATGCATATTCAAGACATGACAAGGACATAACAAATGATAACTGATCTTCCTCTTTGATCTCCAACACCCACCTCTACAGTCACACCGCCCAAGTCAACAGATCCGTTCACGGGGCAGCTCTCTGAGGCCAGCAGCCAGTAATCAGTTCCAAACGACAGGAGGATGAACACAGCTGCCAACGCCCCGAAGAGCCCTGCAAAGAACAACGCCACACTAAGCTTCATGGTCCGGGATTGACCAGCCGCTCGGCTACTGGTTGCCAACACTTAGTCTGACTTTCCCCTCCAACTACAGTGAGCACATGTGACAATCAGAGTCAGAGACAGTCACTCCTCTTGCACTCAAGTACATCCACTGATGTGCTCCAGCTGGTTAATGTTGTTGCTAGATCTCCTCTCCTGTCCCTCTGTCTGTGTTATGGGAGGACAAGGTTGAGCACATGACTCCTCTGGACCCTGCTGGGGTCCACAGTCAGCCCCCCACCCCCCACACCCTGGGCTATTTTTGGGGTCTGACTGAAGGCGGCTGCTCCTCTCCACTGTGGGGCTGAGTGTGTGGAGCAGTTGAAGAGTATGAAGGGAGGGGATCAACTCAGAAATAACCTGCGGCAACTGGACACCCACCGTCTGCATGGGAATGTCAGGGCAGGGTGAGACTGAAAGGACAGAAGACGAGTAGAGTGTCCCACAACACCCTGCCTGAAGCTGCTGGACAACACACATGTAAACACTCACACCAGTATCATTTCCTGTAAATAGGGTGGTGAAAATTACTGTAAATGCACCCTCACAGTAACACCTTCAAGGATCACAGAGATTATTATCAACTGAAGTTTTATTAACAGTGAAATGAATCTGTACAGTCTTTTGTCCCCGAGGCCATAAGGCTATTCAAGTCCTCCCAGCAACTGCAGGTTGGAATAGACTGAACTGACTGAATACTCACCTGCTCACCTATCACTCATTACTGATTATGTTAACCTGGCACAACTGCATTTACATTTTTTTTTTGTTATTTACACCCTATTTCCATTTTCCAATTATTTAGATATTCACCCTCAGCTAGCATTTCATATTTCACCTTCTGTGCTATTCATTTTTTATACTTTCCGGCATTCTTTATTTAATTCAGTCTTTATTTTTTACTTGTACTTTTACGTTCTACTTTTCAGCAACTTTTGTTTGGTATGCATTTTTAATTTCTCCTATTTGGGATCAGTAGGACCTGATAAGTATGAAAAACTAAACATTATCAACAACAATAAAGTCCCAGTGTCCTCAAACAAGATGATAAAAAAGTCCCTGTCTCTTCAAATGAGTACTTCCTGATTTAGTGTCTTAGCTTGTTACTGTTGCTAAAATTGGTCACATCTGTTGCCATATCAAACTACGAACATTATTAATCATAAATAAACAAGTTTCAACCATAAAATGTGATCAGGCTTGGACCTTGTCCACTTTTGTGTTGGGATCAGCTGCAGACTAACTTGGCAGAGATGGCTGCCATGGGCGGCACGGTGTGGTGGATAGCACTGTCGCCTCACAGCGAGAGGGTTCTCGGTTCGATCCCGGATGTAGGAGCCCTTCTGTGCAGAGTTTGCATGTTCTCCCCGTGTCAGCGTGGGTTCTCTCTGGGCACTCTGGCTTCCTCCCACAGTCCAAAGACATGCAGATTGGGGAATAGGTTAATTGATGACTCTAAATTGTCCGTAGGTGTGAATGCGAGCGTGAAAGGTTGTCTGTCTCTATGTGTCAGCCCTGTGATAGTCTGGCGACCTGTCCAGGGTGTACTCTGCCTCTCGCCCGATGTCAGCTGGGATAGGCTCCAGCCCCCCCGCGACCCTCAAGAGGATGAAGCTGTTAGAAGATGAATGAATGAAAGATGTTTTGTTTTTTTGTATTGTGGTCTTAATACCACTAGATGGCACAAAAAAGTGTCCAGGAACAAGGACAACAGGTCCAAGTTAAGTAGAATGAGGTATAACGTCAAGTAAACCTAAAATGTGAGGTTTCAGGAGGATATATTTATCTTCAATTGCATTGATATCATCTACAGCAAAGTATTTATTACTTCTGCGCTGCACTTACATGTTAATTTAATCACCTTATATTGCAATACCTGCACTGTCAGTTACCTAAATTTGCGCTAACATCCTATCTACTGAAGCAAGAGTTCTCTGAAGTATTCATTGGACTAGAAAATAAATAATAATCTATCCATCTATCTATCTATCTATCTATCTATCTATCTATCTATCTATCTATCTATCTATCTATCTATCCATCCATCTTCCTTCCTACCTACCTACCATCCGTCTGTCCGTCCGTCTACCTACCTACCTCTAACCCTATCATCTATCTACCTACCTACCTATCAATCTGTCTACCTACCTACCTACCAACCATCTATCCATCCACCTACCTACCTACCTATCAATCTGTCTACCTGCCTACCTACCTACCTACCTACCTACCTACCTACCTACCATCCATCCATCCATCCACCTACCTACCTACCTACCTACCTATCAATCTGTCTGCCTGCCTACCTACCTACCTGCCTACCTACCTACCTACCATCCATCCATCCATCCATCCATCTTCCTACCTACCTACCTACCTACCTACCTACCTACCTACCTATCAATCTGTCTACCTGCCTACCTACCTACCTACCTACCATCCATCCATCCATCCATCTTCCTACCTACCTACCTACCTACCTACCTGCCTACCTACCTACCTACCATCCATCCATCCATCCATCTTCCTACCTACCTACCTACCTACCTATCAATCTGTCTACCTGCCTACCTACCTGCCTACCTACCTACCTACCTACCTACCTACCTACCTATAAATAATACTAATGTTTTTTATAAGCCCTACACACATTAGAGGTACTTCTCAGAAAACAAATCACACGAATAAGATTTAAACTGTAAATTAGTATCAGTCAGTTTACTTTTGAGATCTTGGTAACAAAAGCCATTGGGACTTTTAGCCTTAATTTAGTTTTAGTTTTGTGGTCGGAAACAGTGGGTGTGCGTTGAGGGAATCAACTGGTTTATTAGCATGTGAGGGGCACATTTAGCAGTGAAGCTACATATAGACACTGGCAAATTTACACACTGATGTGACCAGGGCCACATTCAGCCAGAAGCACTCCACCCACATCCACCCTGGAGTGTGTGTGAGTGTGTGAGTGTGTGAAAGAGACAATGTAGTTGTCAGTTATAGTTAGGTGGTTGAATAAAGAACATCTGAACAGTAATAAATATTTTCCATCTACCAATTGTACATTTTGTTTAATCTGTTCGGCTGCTCTGACTGATTGAATTTTTAGCCTTAATGATACAGATATAATATGTAATATAAAACAACAGATTTGATCCAACACATTTTCACTCTTAACTCATCAAAAACTGGCACTTGGTCAGTGGCCCTACACATTAAACTATGATGAAAACTATGATGAAATTTTGTCTCTGGCAGCTCTGTAGCTACAAGGTTACTGTAAAATCCTCCCTGAATTCTTGACAGTGTGCCATTTATAAAGTGTTGGATGCTCCAGTTTGTCCAGCAGGTGGCGGAAAAGTAACTGAAATGTCAGTCAGTCTAAATGTAGGAAATAAGAAGACCTTGGGAAAATGTTTGTTTCATTAATCTATGAAAAATCAATATGTGAACTAGACTATGAGGGACTTTTATAATAACGATGAGTTAAATAATGAGAAAAGGGCAAGCACCTGAATCATGTAATTAAAACAGTTTTGTTCGCTGTTGTTGTTGGGTATTTATTACTATATATGTTTTGTCTTTAATTTTTTATCACGTTAATCCAAATCATGGGACTGAGCAGTCATCTCTTGGTATTTTTATTTGCACAGTTTACAGATATATTTTGTATAATAACAATTTTATATTCAATTATATATATTACAGTATTCAATTATATTCAATTATATTTAATTCAATTATATTATATTAATAATATAACATGATCTTGGGTACACCATAATAAAAGTGTGCTGATAATATTACATACAAATATTTAGAAAAAATAAAAAAAATTGAAGCTACAGTACATAAATAATAAAAAGCATTTTAATATGTATGTGTATAGATAAAAAAAAAAGTATTTTCCCTGTTAATATAATTTAGTTTTCCTTTTTTTTTAGCCTACTTCTTTCTTTACTGCTACTTTTGTTGACTTTGTTTAGTTTATCTTAATGTGTTATTCTATTGTAAAATAATATACTTAAATACGTGTTTCTACACTGTCTATTTGTGTAAAATTATATTATATTATATATATATACATATATTACATAGTAGTAAAAATTGCTACTTATTTGGTTATATATAGGCTACATGATATATGCACATGATTATATAATAACGTAATATAGTACATAGGCTATTACATAATAAATTAATGTAAATTTTTAAATCTAAAACATAAATTAAAAATGTAAATGAATAACATCAGCTCATCTGTTTATCATCTGTTTCTGATTTTTTTTTTATAAAAATCAAAACACGTTATTTATAACAAAGAGGTAGACAATAATTTTTCAGGGAGACAACAAGCTATCAGAGGTAGTAAAAGTCAATTTACATTAAGACCTAGAGTTTAACTATTTTAAAGGATGTACATTTACTTTAAAGTCTTCGTAATTGTTTTTGTTCCTCATATCTTGTAGTCACTACACCATCTGTTTATGAATTAAAATTTCTTGATTCACTTCTGTGACGTCAGCGGACAATACCAACTGTCAGAGCAGCCGCGGGGGAGGTCGGATCAAACAACATGGCAGTTCAACACCTGAGAAACCAGCCACTACTTGAACAGTCGGCTTCATCGCTGAACGGATATTCTCTCTTTGTAACCCGTCACTTTTTACACCCGCTGCTTCTGTGCCGACGGTTTACCGAGCCGTGTCTCTTCACCCCCCGCCCGTGAGCCCTCCGCCGGGGACTGAGCCGTGCTCTCGGTCGGGATCATTCACAGTGGAGCGGATGAGCGCTTCCGCTTTGGCTGCAGCAGTGTTGTCACAGCGGGAGGATGAACAACCAGAAATGTAGCACCTTATTTCAGAAACCAAGAGGACGGACGAGGATTATACAATGTATCTACGTGGTGGGCTTCATGGTGAGTAGCCTAGAGTATACATGAATGAGTGAACTGTTCACGGTCATGATTTCATAACTCATAACTATGATGTGAGAAACATTCCACAATACAGACATTAGACATGTGTGTCATCTTTAAACTGTAGACTAGGTGTCTTTAAGGTGTTTGCACGTGGTTAAAATAAAAATACAGGCCAATTCTTAAATGTTCACGTCAGTTTAAGTTAACAAAACTCAAAGTAATGATGGTTTACAGTAACCTTGACCTCTTTATTCGCTTATTGTACCTTTTGTCGGGTGTATTGATGTCTTCAGCAGCATATGCACACGTGTCACAGCCTATGTTGCCTTTAACCTAAATCCCACCCCTAAAACACTCACCTGTCATGCTTACCTGCAGTAATATATTCAACCATGGTTTGGAAAATTTTAGCCTGTATTTGGTATTAAAACTGCATTAGAACATGTTCAATTTAAATGTGATATCTGCAAATATAGACTTATGTCATAGCTATTGAAATGTAAAACACATTAAGTACTTTAAAGTGTAATGTATATGTAAACTACATATATATAAGTCATGTATAAACTCACCATAGAGGATTATAAGCATACATTGTACTGATGTGGCATCTTGGACGGTGTTTTCTTTACTTTCTAGCCACTCAAAATAAAAATAAATACATATTATTTATGCATAAAAATACACGAAATGTCACCCTAGATTAATCAGATATGTAGCTACTGAATAAGGCAGCTATGTAAGACCAAAGCAGGTTGTTCTGACACCTTTGAGTGTGTCGAGGGTCACCTCTTCAAAACAATACTGTCAGTAAAATATGTTGCAAAGAGGACAGGTACTTCTTTGAATCTAAAAACACCCCATGCTAGAAATTATATCATAAACAACAAATGATGAGAATCCAAATATCCAGGTTGTTTTGAGAGCACACATTCCTCCTGGCTAAATGAATGAATACAGGTGACTGATGGAATCCAGTCAGATCAGATTTTTGGCATGGGAGCCGACATAACCTGCTGAGGACAGTACTGTTACTGAAAGTTAAGCAATTACTGTAACGAGTGGTGCTGGGACACTGTATGATCTGCTGTGTGACTTCAATCAAGAGCTGGCAGGAACTGAGCTCGTCTCAGCATGCAGATAAACAGGACGACTGATCAGAGTCTGAGGCTGCAGCTGACCTTAAACTCTCTTAGTTCAGTACTGGACATTGGTTTACGTGTCCCCTTCTGTTTAAAGATAGAGTCGTGATAATGATGATAATGAAAGCTTGACACCTCTGGGCTCATCCCTGCATTCTTTCTCCTTCACTTCCTTGTTTACTTAAGGACTTGTTTGGGGTGAGCATGATCATCCCGCTGCTGAGCCACCACGTGAAAGCTCTCGGAGCAAGTCCCACTGTGGCTGGTATTGTAGGTAAGTTGTAATCTATTTAAGTTACATCATAGCAGATGTACTCTGGGGTCAGGCATAATTAGGCAGCAAGCTCTGAGGAGTCTTGTGACCAAATAATTACCCATTTGTCAGAGTTAAAGGGAAAGTTCACCCCAAGATCAAAAACACACATTGTAACTCTTACCTGTAGTGCTGTTTATCAGTCTTGATAGTTCTGGTGTGAGTTGCAGAGCGTTGGAGATATCAGCCGCAGAGATGTCTGCCTTCTCTCTGATATAATGGAACTAGATGGCACTCAGCTTGTGGTGCACAGAGCGCCAAAAAAATACATTTGAAAAACACAACAACAATGTCTTTTTCCAGAAATCATGACTTGGTTACTTAAGATAAACCACAGACCTTGCTGTGAGCAGTTTCATAAAGGACCTGTTTCTTTCTACTGAACTACACCCATCAACTGTATCAAGGCGAGTAAGGAGGCGCGCATCTATTGCTAGCTCATCTAGCACCACTGAGATAGCTAACATTACAGCTCAGCTGAGAAGGACGCCATTGACGTTTACGTCACACTGTCACCAGCACAAGCCTCCATGAGCAGATGCATGCTTGCAACACGAGACAACTCAAACCAAAGCAAGCTAGGTTGATAAATAGAACTACAGGTAAGAGAGAAAATACCTACTTTTGATTTGGGGGTGAACTGTACCTTCAAAAGGTTTTATAAAAAGTCTGTTGTTTTTTGAAGAGAATGACTGTTAAGGACACATAACTGTTAACAAAACATCTGCAATGTGCACCACATATATGTTTCCAACAGTACTGTGGAAATATCTATTTAACTGTTCCTAAATTTGTTGGAATGCACCGTTTTGTTATTCAGAGCACCACACTCTCAGAGCAGCAGGGCGTACTCTGGGCACACTGTCTTAGGAGACGAAGCAGCAGAGCACCAAGCGTAGTTAATGTGTCATGTCTAACTGTTTATTAATTAATGTAGAAATGGAACGTTGTGTCCTTTGTGTCAACAGTGTCGTTTTTAGTATAGAGACACAGATTGGGCGGCAGGAGCTCAGTCCATAGGGACTTGGCTTTGGAACTGGAGGGTTGCAGGTTCAAGTCAAGTTCAAGTATTGAGTTTGGATTGGAAGCTGGAGAGGTGCCAGTTCACTTCCTTGGCACTGCTGAGGTGCCCTTGAGTGGGGCACCAAACCCCCAACTGGTTGGGGTGCCTGTCCATGGGCAGCCCCTCGCTCTGACATGTCTCCATTTAATACATGTGTATAGGTCCTGTCTGTGCATGTGTGTGTATTTTGGGCCTATGTGTATGTGACATCATGAGGTCTGGGTAGTGACTGAAAGAATAAGTTTGCGGATTCAAGTGGCCGAAATAAGTTTCCTCTGTGGGGTGTCTGGGCTCAGCCTTAGAGGTAGGGTAAGGAGCTCGGACATCCACAGGAAGCTCGGAGTAGAGCCGCTGCTCCTTCATGTCGAAAGGAGCCAGTTAAGGTGGGTCGGGCATCTGATCAGGATGCCTCCTGGGCGCCTCCTGTTAGAGGTGTTTCGGGCGCATCCCGCTGGTAGGAGGCCCCGGGGCAGACCCAGAACATACTGGAGGGATTACATATCAAAGTCAAAGTCCATTTATTTGTCTCCCTTGGGAGAAATTTGGATTGGAGACAGGGTACTGCTGCTTTAAACAACACAAAACATACAACTGGTAACCAGATAGGGACCAATGTGCAAAAGATATTTGCTCATCGGAGCTGTGCAATTTGCCATGCCTTCACGTTGAGTTAAGGTGCTGGTACACATTAGAGTGCTGATACATATTGAAATGCTGGTACATCTCATACCTTGGGGTCCCCCAGGAGGAGCTGGAAAGTGTTGCTGGGGAGAGGGATGTCTGGTGTGCTTTACTTGGCCTCCTGCCCCCGTGACCTGGCCCTGGATAAGCGGATGAAAACAGATGGGTGGATGGATGGATGGATTGATTGAGTATTTCTAAACTAAAATGTCTAGATTGGATCTACAAATGCACCAAAGCTATGAAAAAGAAAAACAGATCTGCAGTCAGATGTTCAACCCAAAGCTGCACAGATGAAACAACAGGAAAAAAATCAACTGCTCTTTGACCTGTGGCTGTTACGGCATTAAGTCCAGCAACAACCCCGCCATACATGTGACTGTAGGCATGTCTTCAGTGACTTTTTCTGTTACAGCACTGTGTGCTAGTCGTTAGGGTTTTTTTTAATACTAGTATTGTATCGTGTGTTCTCGTGTGTATTCTGTGCTTTATATTACAAATGTAAACTAAAACAAATATGAATCTGTTGCAGGATCGACATACGGGATCTTACAGCTCTTCTCAAGCACAATAGTTGTAAGTATCCACTTTGTTTCTCTCTCTAAAAACCTAGACCTCCATCTCTGTCTCTAACCTCCACTCAGCCTCTCTTGCTCGAGACATGCTCACAGTTAGTGGCCAAAGTGGTTGCATTCCATGTCATCTCTGGTATTTCATGAAAACAATAAACACTGGCTGTTTTAGGTTGGCTGCAGTCGAACAATACGCCCTGTCTGTGCACATTCACACACACAAGCTACTCCTGGATATCTGCAGATGCACAAAAATCCCTCTTTTTACACATGAATTCATTTTTTACCCTTGAACACCCCCTGACTGGACACCGAGGAGACATTATTCAATGAACTACCCTTTGGATGAGAAATGAAAGCCTTGATGATTAAAATTACGTCCCAACCGTTAAGAAGCTACTCAGAAATGCACGGCACTCCACAATAAGCACGTCATCTGAAGCAAGATTCTCAGCTCTCCACGTCTTTCTCCTGCCGCCCACAGCTCGTGAAAATTGGTTTAATTCTCAGGGGTCATGCGACAAATTAAAACAGATAAGGAGTCATCTGTTGGTTCCCGCGTGCAGACCGGCTGAATCCTGATAAACGTAAGGATACGTGAACAGCTGGGTCTCTATGATAATCCCACCAGGCTGCACCAGGAATACAGCAAACTCAATTGGTCCTAATTTCATTATTCCATCAGGTGTGTGTGTGTGTGTGTGCGTGCGTGCGTGCGTGCGTGCGTGCATGCATGCGTGTGTGTGTATGTGTGTGTGTGAGAGAGAAAGGCAGGGTGAGAATCTAATAAAGATTTGTATTAACAGCCTGGGCTCCTTGTTAGAGAGGGAACTTGGAGTTTGGGGATTTCTGCTTCACTTTACTATTGCCGCACACTCCTTGTGAACAGAGATACTTTTTTCTGCTTGTCTCCATTTGTCGGGATTTGTCCTTAATCCCAGATCAGTGAATTAGGCTTCACATTTATGCCTCAGTTCCACCCGTCCAGATGTTTCAAAGGACTGTACAAAGAGCCATAATCTCTCCTCTAAATGTCCTTTTTACAGAATGGAAAATTTGGTTCTGTCTCAGTTTGGATTGTGTGTCATTACCTGTGTGTGATTGGCAGGGCAGCTGGAGTGATGTGGTGGGACGGCGGTACTCTCTGCTGACCTGTCTGCTGCTAAGCGCTCTGGGCTACGGCCTGCTCGGAATGTCCACCAGCATTGCTTTGTTCGTACTCGCACGGATACCTGTGGGTAAGTCAGAGCACATTTTGACATGTTACAGTGGGAAAATCAGTGGTGCAAATAAGAAAATTAAGGATAGTTTAAGTCCATTTAACTTATCATTAATGTTGTGAGAACACTTGTCACTTTTCTACCATGATAAATCAATGTGAAAAGATCTAGTGATGTCAATAGAAATGTATTTTCGAATGTTCATCAAATGTTGCTTAAAGGAATACTTCACCCCCCAAATGACCAGTTGTATATCAGTTACTCTCCATATGTTACTTTGAATTTGTGAAGAAAATTGTATTTTTCTCGCATGCCTCCACCGTGAAGGAATAATCCAGAAACTGAGAAAATTCTTGATGAAATGAACTCATCGGGGTCCGTGTTTAACAACAGCTAAACTATATCAAAACATGCGTTTATAAACTCTCACACAACTCGTGCCCTTTCTGACAATCAATCCCCAACCTGTTAGTTTGTGTCATTGTGTGACTGGTGTTTTAAAAGGGTTAATTCTAATTCAGCAGTCACACAGTACAGCCCAGTTCAGACCAAAGATTCACAATGAGACAGAAACATTTTAGAACATTGCAGAGAAAAGTTGCAGCGGTGTGAACTGGCCGTCTGAGCTCGACTTGAGCCAGCTGATGGTGTCACCTGCAACTCAGCTGGTCAAATTGCGGGCAGCTGGTTTGAGAATGTAAATGCCCTGTCCCTGCCAAGCCCTCTGTTTCTGTCCTCACGTTGGCCAGTGTCAAACGGTGGGTCACTGCTGCTGCTCACTGTGTGTGCTCTCACACAGACACATTCTCATGGTAAACTAATTGGCACTGCTTACATATATTATTGGGGTGTATTTATTATGAATGCAGTCCATCTGATTTGTTTCTGTCTTTCACCATTTCATCACTACAAATGCAGCTGTAGCCAGTATCTCATTATCACTATCCTCATTCATATTTTAAGAAGAAATTATATTCAGCCACACAATAATCCTGAAAAGCTGGAAATCAGAACAGAAGTACAGAGAGCTGTTACATAGAGATGATATACTGTCTGATCTAGTTGCATGAACCGGCAGGTTTTTAGAACGTTGCAGAACGGTGCATTGCAAGTAGTTGTCTGTTTTAACTCATCTCATCGCAAATCTTTGGTCTGCACTGGGATTTACACAAACTAACTGATCAAGGCAGTGGTAGACCAGCACCAGCAGGTTTGTCAGTGGATTCTGGCTTTGAAGAGAGCATGGATAAGTGTAACTGTCAGTTCAGTTCCCTGATGGACAGGGCCGTCTGTTTGGGAAGAAGTGAGCATACAACTGGATCAATGAGACTTTGATTATACTGCACAAGTTGTGTTGGAGTTTGTAAATGAATGTTTTGATATAATTTTACTGTTGTTAAATGCAGCCTCATTTTACTTTAATTCACCAAGAATTTTATCAGTTTTTGGATTCTTCGTTTACTGTGGAGCCATGCAAGAAAAACTAAATTTTCCTCACAAATTTAATGTAACACGGAGTGAGTAACTGGTATACAAATTGACATTTCGGAGGTGAAGTATTACTTTAACAGCTTGTACAGCATAAACAAGTGTCTTTCCAAATAATTAGTGATTGATAGATCCAAATCAGAATATTTAGCCCATTATTATTGTTATTTTCTTTACTATTAATTTCTTTTTAATGTATTTTTTTTAAATATTTAATTTATATTTGATTTTTTTATTTATTTGTTGCTAAATTCACCAATATGTTTTTTTGAGTTATTTATGGTTGTTTGATGGGCTTATAAAATGTAATGTGAAAAAAACCAAAAACGGACTTCACTACAAGTTCTCTTGGTTAAATTTAAGGAACAGTTAAGTTGTGTTGATAATTAGATACCTCCTTAATTTTCACTCTGAGGTAAATTCCTCATTCAAGTTCAAGGCCTCTGTGTCTTTGCTCTTGGGTAAAAAGAAATCATGACTAAAGGGAGGATCAGTCAGCTCCTCATTCTCACTACCTCGACTGTCTTCTGTCTCAGGGCTGTTCAAGCACTCCCTGTCCATCTGCAGAGCCCTGCTGTCTGACCTGGTGTCTGAGTCAGAGCGCCCTCTGGTGATGGGACACTTCAATGCAGCCTCCAGTGTTGGCTTCATCCTGGGTCCTGTGGTGGGTGGCTACCTCACGGAGCACGAGGGCGGCTTTTACACCTCCTCCTTCACCTGTGCAGTCATCTTCCTCACTAATGCAGGTGGGTGGACAATGGAGAGAAACAACTGGTTTAACTGTATTTGAAATCTTAATGTGACGTGTGTTTATCATTGCAGGGCTTGTGTGGATGCTGCCATGGAGCGAGACGCTTATTCAGCGCAATGACACTAACTCTAGCAACGATGTAAGTAAAGGTTGTCATGACAACAACTGTAGTAAGTCGGTTCAAAATGGCTCTTATGCCAACAGTCACCACCCAGTGTTGGCAGCAGAGACTGAGCCAGGCTCCAGAGCTCCACAGAAGCACCGAGGTGGATTCAGGTGGAGGGAGGTGTCTCTGCTCCAGCCTGCTTGGAGACAGCTGTCCTCAGTGGGCTCCAAAATCCACATGGTGGCCTCCTCTGACATGTGGGACCTCTTCCTGGTGCGGCTTCTGATGGCGATTGCTATCATGCTCTACTACAGTAACTTCTCTCTGGCCATGGAGGAGCGATTCTCACTCAAACCAAAGGTGACGGGGTATCTGATCAGCTACAGCAGCACCCTAGGGGCCCTGGCTGGGTTCCTGGTGGGTCCCGTCACCAAGCTCTATGGGAACAACATGCCCGCTCTGCTGCTCCACTCCACAGTTCTCACCTGTACACTCATCTTCCTGTACGCTGCAGCGCCCAGTGTGTCGCAGGTGCTGCTTACCTCCACCTTCTTTGCCATTTCCACCACTATTGGACGGACATGTATCACAGACCTGGAGCTGCAGAGAGGAGGGGTCCAGGCCAGCGGGACTCTGATCGGAGCTGGGCAGTCGGTTACGGCCGTCGGTCGAGTTCTGGCCCCTCTCCTGTCTGGTCTGGCCCAGGAGTTCAGCCCTTGTGGCCCCCCCAGTCTGGGAGTGGTGCTCGCTCTCGCAGCTGTAGGTTTACTGCTCATCAGGATCCCCAAATGGAATGGGAGAGGGACAACGAAAAAAGCCAAACTCTGAGTAACTGAGTTTAAAATCAATGCAAATACACCACGCAGAGAAGTGCTCTTATTTGTAGGAGGCCAGCTGTGAGGATGAACAGCAGACTCAGTGGGAATGTTGTTTCCTGCTCAAATGCCTCTGACAAACTGACGACTTCACAGGGTCACAACGGCTCGTCACAACCAGCACTGCAGTCCCTCTCTCAGGAGGAGCAGTTTCAAAAGTCAAACACAGTGCTGAGATGAAGTTAGGGCTTCCCTCTGTGCAGAAACATAAGGGCCTTGTGTCGGCACATACTGCTCGGGACAGCTTGGAAACAATGCACACTTTTATTTTTAATGTTCTCTAACCACTACATTGTCAAAAGTCCCTGAGGTTACTGTCAACTAGTGACGGGCAAAGCAGTTCTTCTCAGTGTAGTGACTCACTAGGATCTGTCCATCAAATAGATTTCTTCACTAAATCGGTCAGAGCTTGACTGGAGCTCTAACCGCCCGTAGTCCCACTTGCTGAACTGAAACACCTGCTGAATGTTCAGTCCAGTTCAACGACTAGTGAACTGAGAACTGAAAGCCAAAGTCGTACCCTATCATGTATAGCCAAGTGGCAACACTGGGGCTGAAACATGGGGCAAACTCAGCATGCCAAAAACTGCAGTTCCTCTAATGACCACTAGAGGATGGCTCCAGAAGCGAGTCAATTCCTATAGACCCCTCATGTTAAAATGCCCCACTTTGCAGCAGAAATAAACACATTTACAGCCTGGTACAAAAACAGTTTTGGTCTCAAGAGCTAATTTTAACATTCATGACAACTGTAAGAGGTCTGAATTTTTATTTAACTCACCCTTTTACCTTTTATCAAGGCTTGAAGTAACATATTTAAGGGCAGGCTGTTTTGAGTGACGGGCTGTCTGTGAGGTGTCTGAGACAGATCCAAATGTGGTCACTCTGGCATCAAAAAACCAACATGGTGACAGCAAAATGCTGAACTCAAGGCTTCAAAACAGCTCTCCACAAACCAATGGGTGACGTCACGGTAGCTACATCCATTATTTTTACAGTCTGTTCGCAGTACCTAATTATTAGATATAGATTTGGTAGTACTTCCTACTTTGAGAGAAGACTATTCAGTGACAGCTGGTACATGGTCTTTGACTCTATGGGAGTTACGGGGTATATAATATGCAGTGTAACTGGAACTGCGATGTTGGAAGGGTTGCAGCAGATAGGGATAAAGGGATGATGTCCACTAAGGTACTTCTTGGGTGCACTTGAACAGATGGGGGTTGATATACAATAGGACATTTTAATTTAGAGCAGTAGTTCCCAACTGGTCCAATCACGGGGTCCAGATTTCACCTCAGTCATTAGTTCAAGGTCCACACAGTTTAATACATTTAGCATCATGCTTTTTTTTGGCCATGTCGTCAAGCTAGTTTGCTGTCTCTGTTAAGTAGCTGTCCATTAGTCACTCAGTCTATAGCAGGAAATGGCACTCCAAAATAAAAGCTCTGTGCCTGAATTCACTGTACTTAAAAATAAAGCAAAGTTTACACATTTGTGAGTCACTTGCGGTCCATTCAGAATGGACTTGTGACCCACTTTTGGACCGCGACCCACCAGTTGGGAACCACTGATTTAGGAAGTATTTGTTTATGGTTTTTTATTAAGGACCTTCTCAGTAATATATTCCAACTCAAGGCTGATTGCGATTGTGACCCCTCAGTGAACTAAATAAATCATCCCCCATGTTCTATGATAGTGTGCCAGCTATTGAGCCTCTCAGCAACTGCAGACCAGCTTTCACTGCATGTGTTGTACCCCAGTGATATGATGCAATATGAAGCTGTGACTTCTCTTTTTAATCTCCTTGCTTTGAGACTTCAAGACATGATAGGGTGGGAAAGAGGTGAGCCCAAGCAACTTATTCAGAGCTTTGAGCGTGCACTGTTCCCTCGCAGTCAAAGGATCTGAGACAGTCTCTGGTTCAGCCACCCATTTTTCATATTGCAGGTTTCACCACAGAAGGTGTCAAGATTTAAAAGTCCCTGCACGAGGCTTGCAACTGAGGGAGAAACTAATGAATTATTACATTTCAGTTTGTTCACCCAAAAGATTTGTTCTTTTGAAAGAATCAGTAGTAAACAACAAAACAGGTCTGTGAACCTAGTCCAAATAACCTCTACTTATTTTCCAAAATAAAAGACGAAAGGTGATCATCATCTCACATTTCAGACAGTAATGCTTCACACACTCATAATGAGATTAATATAAAGTTGCTGTGGTGGAATTGGGCTACCTGACCGCCCCAGGGTAGATCACACTGTTGTACAGTAGGAGGAACTAAGTTGGCTATAATTAATTTAACACATTTTACCTCAGTGCCAGCTGTTTCTCCAAATGCACTGCATCAGAAATGCTTCCTATGGTATATGAGCAGATATTTCTGATTCTTGATTTTTTTTTTTGTGTATTTAGGTTATGTTTAAATGGACATTTTGAAAAATTGTTTTAAGTTTTTAAGTTAAGTTTCATTTGTAAACCGAGCACCACTGTTGTTTAAACACCCAGACACCACCTGGTTGAGATGGAAGATTGTATAAATTTGTGTAATGATGTCAGTGAATCCATGAGGTACATGCTAGATTGATGCCAAAAATCAGAAGGAATAAACAAAGTTTTATACATGAGTCTTGACTTTGGAGTTCTATATATGAAATACTGAAATCAATGCGGCAGTTTGGACGGTGCAGTCAGCTCTGTCATACGTATTTTCCCATCTTCTCTCCCTCTATGGGCGGTGCCTTCAGTGCCACATTTATAAGCTTACATTATATCTAGAGATGCTGTGATACCATTTTTTCATCCTAAAACTGATTCCATTTCCTTAACTTGCATATCAACTGATACAGAGTACTGATCCGATACCATTGTGTTAAAAAAAATACAGCTGTATTTCACAAGCCCTGTATGGATGTGAAATTATTGCTATCGTCGTGTGGCATGGCTCAGGTTAAATCCTTTGTAAAACATAAACACGTTCACAGAATGAATGCTACAGAATGTTATCTAATTTGCCATTTTGCTAATGGCTGAAATTAATGAATTACTTGGTATTGAATTGGTGTAAAGACTCGTGTACTTGCTGCTACCAGATGCAACATTTCAGAGAGTGTAAGACTCAGGGGGACAACATTTTTAAAAGTGGGCCAATATAATTCAAATTAATCATATTTCTACATGTATTTTGTATCTACTTGTACTTGCATTGACTGTTTAGATCTTGTATTCTTATTTGAAAAGCAGAGGTATGTGTGTCCTGGGCCAAAAAAGCCCAAAAGTTATTAAATCATCAGATCAGATCAGGAGTGAACAAATCATTTTTCTTCCTTATTGATTCAATTTTGAGGCTACTTTAATTAAATATTGGCTAAATTGTGCACAGAACTGAAATAGTTTTAAGAGTATAAGGCTGTTAACTCTCAGTTTTCCAGTCAAACCCAATTTATGCAATTTGAAGACAGTTCAGGGACCAGTATGCAGAAATATTTAAATAAACCACTTTGAAAAATGGCAATGCTCTTTTTTCCCTTGACAAAATTTTACTTAACTTTGGAGCATTATTTGGCTCCCTTTTCGGCAAGATAACATAACATGGTCGGTACCAGTGGATGCCTTAGGTCCTCTAGTTTAATGTGATACCAGTGTCTTCACTGTAGCTTTAAAATAGATCCTGTTTGTTTGCAAAAAAGTCTGGCTCACTTCTTACCTTCAGCTCTGCCATTACTGCCACTACCAGTCACACCTGCTGCTTCTTCACAATTCTGTCATCACCTCTCTGTAACCTGACCCTTTTTAGGAGCCCCTGATTTTTGGTGAGACATTCTGACTAAGCTCATCACGTTTACATCAGCAGCACTTGTGGGTTCTGCACATCACACACCTGACCCATATCAGATGGACCGCACCATTTCACAATACCTGCAGGGGGTGTCAGATGGCATGTTGAAATGTGTTTTAATTATAAAATTACATTTATTTATCATGTAAATACATATAACTTGTACTGTCAGTGATATATAAATCAGGGAGTAAATGGTTGTACTTGATCCCATTCAAGGGTCAAGCAGAAACCTTTTCATGGGCCCCTCTTGGCCTTAGGCTGGGGTCATCTGTATCTTTTGACACCCCCTGATCGGAGGTATTTCAGATACTAAAACTGGTATTGGAAATATTGTATCCTGTGTTTGACTGAGAATGACTGGTAACGGCTTTCAACAACATATAAAATTTATTACAGTAAAAGAAAAAATAATCATCATCAGATTTGTGAGGTCCATCAGTGTAACAGACAAACAAAAGGCCTCCAGTCCCAAGAGTACTTCGTACTGCACAGCAATAGTTCCTCGTGTTAAACTGATATGGCCTGTATACAAAACTTATGTCTTCAAACATTCAACCATCACACACCATAGGCAAACAAAAGTACAAAAAGTATAATATTTACATCTAAGGAAAGAGAAACATTTACTGAAAATAAAATAGTTTAAATTAAGTTGTCTTTAAAAATCCTACAGGAAGATAAAAAGTATTTAAAATCACATTAATGTGAACGGATGAAACGGCTATACCTTTTAAAAACTGGCAGAATGACAGTTCATAAACAGTCCCTTTACTGTGTTGCATTGTGTTTCTGATGTAGTGAACACCTCTGACTTCTTATTGTCCGTTTTGGCTCATTGTAGAGGATGCTTCACTTCTAATAAGAAATAAACTGTCCCCCAGAGTTCACTAGTCTTTAACTGGAATGAACGCACAGCTGTGTGCAGAGACCCTGGAGCTGCTTGAGAACCTGAGCTGCAGTCCAGCTGCTCTTCAAAGCTCAGAGACATGATTACATCTTCTTGGGGTTCCACTGAGGCCGCCTGAGCAGAGGGTTTCGTGCTGTTTGGTTGTCTCTGGGTTCAGCCACCCAGGCTGGAGGTGGAGGTGGAGACGAAGGCTGCTGCTCCTCTTCTGCTTCGTTGTGCGCGTTTCTGAAGTTATCAGCTGAGCCGCTGTCGCTGTCCAAGTGACGGCGAGGAGCAGGAGCATGGGAATCACTGTAGGAGGAGTTTGTTCTGGACGGTCCACGCCCCGACTTGCCTCTGTCCTCCCCTGAGCTTTCATCCAGCACGTCAACAGAGGGCGCCTCTTTAAGGGTGTCCAGCCTGCGCAGAGGCATCATGGCTCTGGAGGAGGAGCGGGCAGGCTGGCCGAACCGAGAGCGTCTGGAGGGATAGGCCAGCTCTGACACTGTTTCTTGATCATCTGGGACAGATAAGGAAAAGGGTAAAATTGTAAAGAAATAGAGTGAATCATCAATACATTCACATGTTTGGCAAATATAATTTTAGCATGTTTGACATGAACATTTGCTACTTGGTAAAAACTAAAAACAACAATCAAAAGCTCCGGAACAAACTAACACCTGAACGTTGCTTTTAGGATGATTACTCCAACCATAAATCTACTTTAAGGGAAATTAAAGGGGAAAACTGGATGTTAAGGGGTGAAAAGTAGTTTGAGAATTTTACCTGTATAGCTCTGCCTCACAGGAGGGAATTTTGAGTCCAGACTTTTCCCAGCAGGAAGAGAGAAGTATTTGTGGGATTTGGGCACCGCCTGAGAATAAACATGGGAATGAAACAGCAGAGTGTAAAGAGAGAAGAAAGGAGAATGAATGAAGGTGGGATAAAGAAGGTGAACCTTGCGTTTAATTCACACTTTGGGACAAGGTTCAATTCTGCTCTCGCTTCCTGATCTCCAGCTAAAATGCTGAGAATACACTGGATGTAGCAAGCCACAGTTACAGGGTTTCCTGCTTACCGATGACTGAAAGCTGCCAGGTCGGAGGCTGCGGCGGATGCTGGCGTGGCGTCTTATCAATATCTCTTTGGTGTGGCTGTCATTGGGCAGAGCGTGCTTTCTTGTGTATGCCACCGTCTGGTGAAAGAGAACAAAAAGATCCAACATTACACAGCAGATCTGGACTCTTCCAGCTCACAGACTCTGCCATTTTGGACGTGTTCATCTGGAATACAATTCACAAGTGAGCCAACAGGTGGCCACAGTGATTGCACCTGACAGTAACCTCAACTAACTGGCAAATGGATAAAAATGCTTTCAGAGGAGACGGCGTTCTTTACAGCTCAGATTACTCAACCAAAACTGGCCAAACCTGTCTGAGCTGAAATGGTCCATGTCTCTGTTTGAACTTTACGAGCTGCCACACTAACCTCTTTAATGCAGCGTACCCATCACGGTCAACATAGACCTGTCTGTCTGTCCTGCAGCTGTTAGACCTAAAACAAACATTTCTAACACTATAACCGCTGCCATTGTTCTTTATAGAACTGTCTCTCTTCAAAAAATGCTCCATGATCTACTGCTCTGATCTGTTAACATTACAATTTAGATTCTCACCTCATAAAGTGTCAAATAGATTTTAAAAAAATCACAATAACACTGTTGTTAAATGCAACAACTCTAACGTGATGTGAGTTTAAAGAGGCAGCACGAGACCAGTTTTCCGAATGACCCGTGCAGGATGTCAAATGTTAAAACAAACAGCAGATAAGAGGTGACGCTGAGTTTGTGTGTGAGAGCTGAAAAGAGCGGCTATTAAGACAATCTGACAATTTGTCCACTCAAGAACAGAAGCACATGCTCCCTGTTTTTTTCCACACATCAAAGCGTCTCCGTGGGTGAGGTCATGTCACTAATGGAAAAGTACTGCCGGCCGCAGTCTGTGGCTATGCAAAACAACTCACAGTTTCAGTACTGGAAGTGATCACGTCATTGTGTGAGGCGTCACAGGAAATATATGTTTCCAGTTCATCAAATAAAATGAAGTCTGTTCACTTTTGATGAAGAATATGAATAAAGAGAGGATTTCAGGTGAAAGAATCTGACGCTGTTCTCTTGCCTTTTCAAGCTGCTACTCCATTTTCACGTATAAAACAAAGATGATATCAGGTGCACTTGGCTTCATTTAAGAGCCTAGAACATGTTCAGCTTTGTAGAAGAACACTTGAGACTGGGCTGCTGTCTGATCCATCGAGGCGAGATACTAATGTATGTACTGTAAGCACCTGCGTGTTTACTGCAACAACAGCAAAATGCAAATGCATGCAGACTGGTGGCAGCTGTCCGCCTTTAGTCAATCAAACAGCTCCTCTGACAACAAAGTGGTTGTCCCTAACTGCTGCTTTAGTGTTGGAAGAAGTAGTCAGATCCTTTTCTTAAGTAAAAGTACCAACAGAACAATATAAAAATACTATATTACATATAAAAATCCTGCATTACCACTAATTAAATTTGTGACACCATCAGCCGGCTTGAGTCGAGCTCAGATGGCCAGTTCACACTGCTGCAACTTTTCTCTGCAACATTCTAAAATGGTTTTGTCTCATCACGAATCTTTGGTCTGAACTGGGCTTAACAGTGGGAGATGGAATCCTCTCCCATTGCAGGTAAACCAGAGCCGTTCACATGGCTCTGCAGTAGATGAGTATGCCTTTCTGTTTTCTATACTGGTGTTACGTTTAATGTCACAAACACTCTGGAAAACAGGTTAGTAAACAGCAGAAAGCAGCCAGGAGGCCAGTGAAAATGTTATGGTAGTTACTTCTTTTGGATCTGTTAAGCCCAGTTCAGACCAAAGATTCGGGACGAGCAAGTTGAAACAGGCGACTACTTGCAATGCACTGTTCTGCAACGTTCTAAAAACCTGCCGGTTCACACCAATGCAACTAGATGAGATGGAGTATCATCTCTATGCAACAACTCTGTACTTCTGTTCTGATTTCCAGCTTTTCAGGCTTATTTTGTGGCTGAATATAATTTGTAGCTTCTTGAAATATGAATGAAGATACCGGCACACCGTGAGGACAGAAACAGAGGGCTCGGCGGATGGAGCATCTGCCGCAGCAGCAAGCAAACAGGTCACAGGTGAGCTCAGATGGCCAGTTCACACCGCTGCACCTTTTCTCTGCAACATTCTAAAACAGTTTCATCTTGTTGCAAATCTTTGGTCTGAACTAGGCTTTATTTTTCCAGTCTCTCTTTCAAACCCTGTGCCAATTAATTTGAAATGATGTTCAGGTGTGGCTTGGACAAAGACGGATGGAATTTGTGGCTGAGATGACAAAGAGTCATAGAGGTTAACGACGGAGGCGACACATGTTACTACATCATGCCAGAAAAGCAAAAATTAGCACGAGTGTTATGTTTACATTACTGCAGATCGGAGCTGGAGCTGAAAAATGTCCATGACTACTGAAGAGTCATTTGTCCTGGTAATGAATGCTGATGTAACCTTTTCCATTACAGACAAAAGCCAGATGTTAGTGGGTGTTAGTGGGTTTTTTGGCCAGTGGGAAAGTACTGAGTAAAAGCACTTGGTTACTTTCCTCCACTGTGAAGCATGATACGAGAAGAAAGGGAAAGGAAAAAAACAGGATCGTGTGCACGCAGCTGTAATCCAGCAATATTATTTGATATCTCACCCGTTGCCTGATCTGGTACATGTTCTTGGACAAGATGTCATGCATGTTCTTCAGGTCAGGAGCCAGGAACTTCCTCTTAGGTTTAGCAGAGCTTTTCTTCTCCTCACTAAAACACAGATATTCAGAGAAATTACTTTCCTCCACCTCTTTGAACCAAACAGACAATACAAAGGCGGTGTGATCGTCAGAGAAAAAGAGGAACGTATTAAAGTTTTCATACTAGAGAGAGACGATGGACGGAGCAGCGCTGATGTCTCCAGACACCGTGTCCAGGATCTCCATGGCGTTCTGCAGCTCCAGCTTCTTATACAGCGCCACGATACTGGACTCGGCTCGGCTGTCTCGGATCAGGATCTTCCGCAGGATTCGATTGTTGAACTTCATAAACCTGGCACAGAGAGGAGGGGGAATACATTGCTGAGTTTGTGTGAAACAGAGATATCTGAGATCAAAACAAACTATGCGTTTGTAATGAAGGAACAGGTAGGTTTTGGACAGCTATAGAGGTCCATCACACAAAAGAATAAACTGTATCAGGCTCTGGCTACACAGCAACACTTCTTAGTATGATAACATCAAATATATGTTTGGGTGCAATTTTTGTTCTTTTTAAAATTCTTATTGCAACTGTCTTGTCTACTAAATTGAGCACAGCGTTCGTTCAGGCAGGACACGACGTCAAGCTCAGCTCAAATCGCAGCTACATCAGTTGATCTCAAACAGCCCAATCGACTGATGGAGCAGCTGATTGATGGAAGGGGGTCAGCTGATAGATCACATGATCCCTTTTTACGCAACTAATTGGTGACTCTCATTCAGGGCACCCTATTTAAACTGCTCTGGCCTGCCTACTGCTGCTGCTGCCTTAAGCCTGATTTATGGTCCTGCAGCGTACCTACAACGTACCTACGTCGTTGCCGTGACGCCGTCGTGAACCCTTCGAACTTCTCTGTCACTCCATTTCGTCGCGGTGCAATTCACCGCCAGAGTGGTAGGAGGCTGCGTTCCTTTCCTGAATGGTTATCGTCGTCTCTAGTTGATTCTTTGTTTAGCTTCCGGCTTTTCCGGTCACAGAGAAATGAACATGGAGCACGGACAGACGGCTCCGTCCGTATCCGTATCTGTATTGAACATTGAGCATAAATGGGCCTTAATATTGCAACATCTACATCGCAACAGAAGATGTTTAAAGATGGCGGGGATGGCGCAATCTGGAAATATGGAACCGGAAATGCGTTACTACCAAGAAAATAAACCAATCATAGCCCTCTCGGTCTGCGCTGGGTCTGCGTCGCCTCGACGTGTAGTTACATTTTTGGGGAGATGCACATCAGGCTACGCCAGGGGCTACGGCGAGCCTTCTGTGTTACCACATACCCTACGACGTAGCGATGTCGTTGATTTAACGCAGGACCATAAATCAGGCTTTAGGCTTTCTGTGTAGGTGCATGGAAGGGCAGAGAGGCCCCAGAACAGAGTCATACTGCCAAATATAATGCTGCAAATGGAAATAAAGTTTTCTTTCACTAAAGTGGTCCTGACTGAACTTTATTTGTGGCTATTTTTGTCTTGTTTACACTTTATAGTACTATTTATATTGCGTATATAGTATCTGGTAGCTCTTTTTTCATGCTTAATTGGTGCAAACAGAATTTTACTTTTTTAAAGTTATCTATCTGTAATAAATTCATTCTATTTTCTAATTTTTTTTTCAGTTGGCGATGGGCTAAAATCTCTGACCCACATCTACTTCCCTGGTGATACAGCATTATGCACTTCCTGCTTGTCTCAGAAGCTGTTTGTGTAGTCTAGTTTTGAGCAGTTTAACACATAATCAGTGGGACCATTTAGGACCACTGTCCTGCTGAACTGTCCTGGAATTGAGGGGCTGTGTATAAAAAAGGCCACTGTACACTTAATATTGATATCATTACCCTCAATTATCCTTTTTTTTTTAAAAAAAAGATATTTTTGGGGGCATTTTTTAGCCTTTATTTGATAGGACAGACAAGTGTGAAAGGGGGAGAGAGAGTGGGAGTGACATGCAGCAAAGGGCCACAGGCTGGAGTTGAACCCGGGCCGCTGCGGCAACAGCCTTGTACATGGGGCACCTGCCCTACCACTAAGCCACCAACGCCCCACCCTCAATTATCCTTGAATCATTAAGTCAGTTAACCCAGTGCAATGTGTCAGAGTACAAACCCAAAACAAACATTTCACAGTCCTTTTACTTTCTGACTGCTTGTTTTGACTTGTTAAAATCTAATTAGAAATCTGCATTGTTGAGAAACCCGTCTCACAAGACGAGCATGGAGAGTGTGTAAACAAAGCTACAAGGAAGAAAAGGAACACTGGAGAAGGGAAAGAAACAAAGGATAAAGGGAGAAGTGAAAGCAGAGGTGTGTCTGCAGTCACATATAAAAGGTTAAAATAGTGAAATCGAAATATAAATGTAACATTCATATTATTTCAAAGTTATAATTACACTTAATTGTTGTAAGAGTAGCTGCTTCAGGCACCTATGCACCAAAACACAGGGACAGTTCACCCTAAAATCAAAAATACATATTTTTACTCTTACCTGTAGTGCTAATTATCAATCTTGATTTGCTTTGGTGTGAGTTGCAGAGTGTTGGAGATATCTGCCGCACCATTTTAGCTTCTACTGCTAACTCATCTAGCACCTCTGAACTAGCTAACGTTTCAGAGCAGCCAATGAGGACGCCATCGATACGGCTGGCAGGTGTGGTTAGGTAGAAAGAAAATAGTCCCTACATGAAATTGCTCACAACAAGGTCTGTGGATTATCTTGAGCAATCGGGTCATGATTTCTCGAAAGAGAAATTGCTGTTGAGTTTTTCAAATGTATTTTTTGGCGCTTTGAGCACCACAAGCTGAGTGCCATCTAGTTCCATTATATGTGAGAGAAGGCAGACATCTCTATGGCCGATATCTCCAACACTCTACAACTCACACCAAAACAATCTAGACTGATAAATAGCACTATAGGTAAGAGGAAAAATATGTATTTTTGATTTTGGGGTGAACTGTCCCTTTAAACTGTGAGGGTAAAACAGTCAAATGAGGAACTGAGTAAAACATGTCGGAGCTTTAGGAAAAAAAAACGTCAAGAGTCACTGCAGATGGCAGAAGTTGAACACGACACCAAAGTCTGGTTCGCTGTCAACATTCCCACACAGTCCCCGAGTGAACAATAGTATTGTCAAAGAAACAACAAAGACAGAAACTGAGAACAGGTGAACTAAAACTGCCACCTCTCCTCTAGTTTCACTGCAGATTCTTTTTCTTTAAAGTTAAGATGCAGCAGTAAGTCATTTATGATGAAATGAAAGCAAATAAATTAAAGCTTTTTGTTGAACAGACAGGAGAGAGAACGTTCTTACTTGTCCTTCCAGTAGAAGTGGCTCCACTGTCCACACAGGTCCTCAATGCCAGCTATGGTGTGCTCCATAAGCTGAGAGCAAAGGGAGACCTGTTAAAACTGTGCGCACACAAATATTCCATCACCCACATTTACAACAGTCAAAACCTGTGGCATACCCTGCAGTGAATCTCCACGTTGATGGTGTCAAGATTGCGGTTGGTTCTGCGGACATTGATGAACTCGATCAAAGGTCGAATACTGATGCCCTGTGGAGGAGGAAAAGAGAGATGAGAGATTCAGCAGAACCCAGAAAAACATGAGAGGACAATCAAAATCCCAAATAGCTGTCAAAAGACTGGCCATTGATTAAATAAAGAGCTACAGATTTCAGCACCTTATGGCATCAGAAACAAGCTGGTGGAAAGACATCATTTTGATCTGACATTGATCTGACATTGAGTTGGAAGATCTTTATATCCAAAACACACAACCTACTAGAAAATGAAATCAGCTCTGATCTGGACTTTAAATCATGGTGTGTGCCAAAAAGAAAATCATGTTTCTCTCCATTTAAGACAAAAAATATATAGCACACTAATATAAGTTAGATTTGCTGGATTTCTTAAAAAGACATCAATGATTCACAGCAAACTGTGTAAAATGTTTTGAGTATAAGCATACAGACGCTCTCTTACCTGAAGAAAGACAGTGAAGAGGATGATAGCAATGGTGGCAGTGACAAAGAGCTGCTTGCGGCCGATGTTATCAGGAAGGGTGAAGGCCAAGGCGAATGAAATTGCCCCTCTCAGGCCACCGTAGGCCAGGCCAAATTGATCTTTTAGGTTAAATGGGATGGTGCGGAAAGGGTTAATGATCTGAGTCAGCACCAAGACACCTGTAAGGGAAGGAAGAAAAATGTCAGGTGTTATTCTTAACTTTAAAGCTGCATTAACTAATATGTTTATATCAACTATGAATCAAGTAACTCTGTGTGATGTGCAAGTGGTTGTTTGTAGTGATGAACCTACAGAGAAAAATCACCCGACTCTGTAGTTCCCTTGAGCACTACCAAACTTTAAAGCGTTCTTCAGCTCCTAGTTTTGGCTTTAGGGCACACAATTGTACTGTCTACTCCCATCAACATAGTTTCCAGCAGTAGCAGGCAACTATTTCAAGCCACTTAGCAACTAGCTGTTGAATATTTAGCTGCTAACTTTAGCTGCGTTTAGCTGATATTTCCCTCAGGAGCTGGTGGAGACCAAAACAGAGCAAGAAGCTACGTTCACCTTTATAGCCGTATACAATGACAATAACTCTGTGTTGTTTTTTAGTTTGTTCTGCTTGCCTCAGCTCAAGGCTACAGAGACAAACAGTTAAAGGTGCCCTGTGGAGTTTTCTTACAAGCACACAAAAGACATGTTTACAGCTAGTGTTATTCACTGAGATGGGTGTATCTTTGAAGTCTGACAAAGGAGCTGAAGGCTTTTTACCTTCATAGAACATTTACAAAGCCAACTTTTAAAAGCATTCAAATCTTGCATCGTTTACATACATGTTTGCCGGCAAACAGTCTTCTTCCCTGTTTTTATTAGAGCATTAGCTATGTTTGTTGGAGTGTTAAGCGGTATGGATACTTCTGTGTCAAATCGACTCCAGACGCATAACCTACGCCGTAGCCTGACGTACACCTCCCCAGAAATGTAACTACATGTCGCAGCAACGCAGACCTCCTGTTTATTTTTCCCTCAGTGGAAACAAAGCTTTTATTTTCTTTAATTTCATGGATAAGAGACAATAAATTTTGAAGACATTAAAGCCTCCACAAAGTAACATTTTAAGTCTTAAGTGTGATTTATCCTGGCTTCATATGATCTCCACTATGCATTGGGCTAATTTCATTCATTCATTCATCTTCTAACCGCTTCATCCTCTTGAGGGTCGCGGGGGGGCTGGAGCCTATCCCAGCTGACATCGGGCGAGAGGCAGGGTACACCCTGGACAGGTCGCCAGACTATCACAGGGCTGACACATAGAGACAGACAACCATTCACGCTCACATTCACACCTACGGAGCATGGAGTTATCAATTAACCTAGTCCCCAATCTGCATGTCTTTGGACTGTGGGAGGAAGCCGGAGTGCCCGGAGAGAACCCACGCTGACATGGGGAGAACATGCAAACTCCGCACAGAAGGGCTCCCACATCCGGGATCGAACCAGCAACCCTCTTGCTGTGAAGCGACAGTGCTAACCACCACACCACCGTGCCGCATTGGGCTAATTTATACAATGTAAAATGCCATAGGCTTGTGCTAATGACGTTAGCATGTTGTAGTTGTGGGAAAATGTGTCCAGATAAAGACAAGTGTTTGTCTGTGAATGCTGCGAGTTATAGTGAAGCTGATTTGTGTACTTGTGTTTGAAACTGTCTCTATTAAGCCATGCTTAATGTGTGTTTAATGTGTGTTTTGAATCAACTAAACTTTACAGCACTACACAGAAACCCTGATTCCGACTAGTGAACTGCAGAGTGACACAGACACTCCGCCGACAAAAAGAAGACAGGAACCCACTTGTAAAAACATTGCTTCATAGCACTACTAGTGATCAAAAACTCCACAGTGCACCTTTCATCCTGCGACAAGACCAACAGAGGCCAAGACAAACCTGACCTCCAACATGACACAGATAGCCCCTGCCCTCTCCTTACCGAGACCCCTCCACACAAAAGCAAACAGCAGTGTGAACAGGATGTAGCCCCAGTTCCACTCATGCTCTGTTGTTATGGTGACGACCCCCAGGAAGAAGAAGATGAGCGTCTCTGAGATGGAGCCAAGCATCTTGACCACATGGCGGATGGTTGTGCAGGAACGCTGGGAGACATTTTCCTCCACGTAGTACTTCATGGTGAGAGCGCAGGTCACAATGCTGCAGAAGAACACAAACCGCTGCTGTGATGTTCCTGTATTCTTGAAGCATTAAATATTTGGACCTGGAAAAAAAGTTAAAGTCTACTCACGCCATGATGGACGAGATGGCGAAGAGCTCAGCCACCAGATAGGCCAGGTAGCTGTACATGAATATGAAGAGTGGCTCGATCTCTCGAACCTTGGAGGTGAATCTTGTGGTGAAGGCGGCAACGAAGCCAAACAGGATACCGAAGCCCATCCCACCGAGCCCGACCACAAAGAACCGTGCCACCCCGAGGAAAACATCCACTGGCTCCACCACCGGCATCTCCGCCACAAAGTTGAACATGTTGTACAAGACCTGAAACATGTACACACATGCTGAATCGCACATGCAAACACACACTCTTTTATGTGAAGCTTTCTGAACGTACAGTACAGGCCAAAAGTTTGGACACACCTTCTCATTCAATGCGTTTTCTTTATTTTCATGACTATTTACATTGTAGATTCTCACTGAAGGCATCGAAACTATGAATGAACACATGTGGAGTTATGTACTTAACAAAAAAAGGTGAAATAACTGAAAACATGTTTTATATTCTAGTTTCTTCAAAATAGCCACCCTTTGCTCTGATTACTGCTTTGCACACTCTTGGCATTCTCTCCATGAGCTTCAAGAGGTAGTCACCTGAAATGGTTTCCACTTCACAGGTGTGCCTTATCAGGGTTAATTAGTGGAATTTCTTGCTTTATCAATGGGGTTGGGACCATCAGTTGTGTTGTGCACAAGTCAGGTTAATACACAGCCGACAGCCCTACTGGACAACTGTTAAAATTCATATTATGGCAAGAACCAATCAGCTAACTAAAGAAAAACGAGTGGCCATCATTACTTTAAGAAATGAAGGTCAGTCAGTCCGGAAAATTGCAAAAACTTTAAATGTGTCCCCAAGTGGAGTCGCAAAAACCATCAAGCGCTACAACGAAACTGGCACACATGAGGACCGACCCAGGAAAGGAAGACCAAGAGTCACCTCTGCTTCTGAGGATAAGTTCATCCGAGTCACCAGCCTCAGAAATCACAAGTTAACAGCAGCTCAGATCAGAGACCAGATGAATGCCACACAGAGTTCTAGCAGCAGACCCATCTCTAGAACAACTGTTAAGAGGAGACTGCGCCAATCAGGCCTTCATAGTCAAATAGCTGCTAGGAAACCACTGCTAAGGAGAGGCAACAAGCAGAAGAGATTTGTTTGGGCCAAGAAACACAAGGAATGGACATTAGACCAGTGGAAATCTGTGCTTTGGTCTGATGAGTCCAAATTTGAGATCTTTGGTTCCAACCGCCGTGTCTTTGTGAGACGCAGAAAAGGTGAACGGATGGATTCCACATGCCTGGTTCCCACTGTGAAGCATGGAGGAGGAGGTGTGATGGTGTGGGGGTGTTTTGCTGGTGACACTGTTGGGGATTTATTCAAAATTGAAGGCACACTGAACCAGCATGGCTACCACAGCATCCTGCAGCGACATGCCATCCCATCCCATCCGGTTTGCGTTTAGTTTGACGATCATTTATTTTTCAACAGGACAATGACCCCAAACACACCTCCAGGCTGTGTAAGGGCTATTTGACCAAGAAGGAGAGTGATGGAGTGCTGCGGCAGATGACCTGGCCTCCACAGTCACCGGACCTGAACCCAGTCGAGATGGTTTGGGGTGAGCTGGACCGCAGAGTGAAGGCAAAGGGGCCAACAAGTGCTAAACACCTCTGGGAACTCCTTCAAGACTGTTGGAAAACCATTTCAGGTGACTACCTCTTGAAGCTCATGGAGAGAATGCCAAGAGTGTGCAAAGCAGTAATCAGAGCAAAGGGTGGCTATTTTGAAGAAACTAGAATATAAAACATGTTTTCAGTTATTTCACCTTTTTTTGTTAAGTACATAACTCCACATGTGTTCATTCATAGTTTTGATGCCTTCAGTGAGAATCTACAATGTAAATAGTCATGAAAATAAAGAAAACGCATTGAATGAGAAGGTGTGTCCAAACTTTTGGCCTGTACTGTATGCACGTGCACGAACAGTCCACACACCCCTGTGACAGGTCACGGGTGGTGTCAGGGGCTGCGGCCTCTACTGACACAGTTGCAGATAACAGTGATTCATTGGAATATTTACTCTGCTCTGTTTGCAATTCGATAATCTCATTTCACCAAGCGCGCTGAATGACTCACGGAAAAAGAGCATTTGCCAAAGCAGTTGGCTTTGTTCCTCCTGTTCTGCCGATACCACTGACAAACAACGAAAGCAGCTCATTGCTGTTTTCATGGTGATGTGGCTGCACACGGCCATTAAAAGTACATTTTCACAGAAAGCAGGAAATTTGTAGACATTAGAAATAATGTGAGAGCCAAAGGCAAAGACAGGCTACCTACCACACAGTACACAGACCACATTTAGCATTTTCTTCAAGGGTCTTCAATATTACAAGCAAAAACTTGCTATGCAGAATAAGGTTTCTGACAACAGTGTTAACTTTCCTTGACAGCTAGTAGTGTCTGCCACTAGTATGAATGCACACTTGATCAAACTAATGAAAAAATACTGTCATACTGAAAATATTGTAAAAAGGGTATGAAAAAAAGTGGTAAATAACATCCAGTAATGATAAATTCAAATAGTCACATTTGGAACCTGGAGGGTGTTACTGATGAGGAGGCTCAGGAGTTTATCTGAAAGAGGTGCAGCAGTACATCTTTAAGAAAAGGGTGGGGAACCACTGACTTAGCACACAGTCCATTTAAAGATATACTATGCAGGATTTTCCTACAAAAATGTATAGACTCATACAAAGGTAACCCCTCTCAATCATCACTTCTGACCCACTAGCAGTGTGTGGCAGTGTATTTTTCTGCAGACACTCTGCCCTCTGCCTGGATTTTCTTATTTGCCTCATATTTTCTGTGTTCAGGACATCTATGGCGTGTACTCCCACAGTGCTCAGCTGAGGTCGGGGCTTTACCAAAAGGTATCAACCAGGTGCCAGACTATAAACAGCAGGCACCCAAGAGAAAGAACACACATATAGCGAGGTGAAACGCCCAGTGAAAGCTAATCTGGAATTGGATTTTACTGTCACTTGTGCTGGGGAGTTTGTTCACAACAGTAACTGACAATCCTGCACTGTATAGTGGATACGACTAGTGATATATTTTTTGTTCTCAAGCAAAACATTGCAACAGACTATCTGTGACATTCAGTCCCAAGCCAATCTGTTCCTACTAAAGATGTCAATCTGGACATTGTAGTTTTTATTTTTGGAGATTCATTTATTTCCCGTAACCGCTTATCCTGTTAGGGGTCACAGGGGTGCTGGAGCCTATCCCAGCTGACATTGGGTGAGAGGCAGGGTACACCCTGGACAGGTCACCAGACTATCACAGGGCTGACACATAGAGACAAACAACCATTCACATTCACACCTACGGACAATTTAGAGTCACCAATTAACCTGCATGTCTTTGGACTATGGGAGGAAGCTGGAGTGCCCAGAGAAAACCCACACTGACACAGGGAGAACATGCAAACTCCACCCTGGTTTCGAAACCCTCTTGAAACCACCATACCAAGATTTGGAGTGCTATGGATATCTACGGCAGCAGGACAGTGTATGAGGGACAGACTCTAAATAAACTACTGCAGCTCAATGATGTGTTTTTAATAGTTTTTGGAAAACAATGGAGCTCTATGGCACTGAGGAATGAGCTGTATCAGGCTTTGGGTACACAGACAAAGATTGTTAGATCAATTCATTGTTGGTTGTGGTCTTTTGATGGGATTTGTTGTTAGTAAGAAACTCATCTATTAAACAGACTGTTCTGCTCTGGGATGAGTCTGTCGAACAAAGATCACTGAAAAGGCAAATAGGAGCCATTTTTACAGCATTTACTAAAAGCGGATCTGTACATGGAGAGAGACGGCAACAGTTCCCTGTTTAAAATTTGCATATGTACGACACAGATGGTGCAGATGATAACCTGGCAGTCTCAGTTGCAGTTCTCACCTGAAGTACTTCTGTATCTGTGCTTTTGGCAAATATTACATCTCGTCTGATTTGTGCAATTCTGCTCTCTGTGCTCTCTGTGCAGACCGCGCCTGGGTAAATGTTTGTCTTCACTTTCTGCATCAGTTCCGCTACTGTGTCCCAAACAAAAGGGTCGCCACACCAAAGCTAAACGCAGGTTGTTGGAGGGGGGTGGGGAGGGCTGAGCACAATAAGGAAGAGGGTGAGGGGGGAAATTTGAGCATGAGCTCAGTTCAGAGAAGTTTCAGACGGTGTTGTCTGCATGTGTTAACTCCGCCCATACGACCAAAAGCTACAGTGACCTCAGAAACTGGTTTGGCCGCATCTGAGCAAACAGACCTAAATCCTCAGACCTGCAGACACAACTGTTTCTTGCCTCTTACAACATTCCCTCACTTCTATTTTTGAGTCGTTTATCTGTTCTGCAATCTTGCCTGCGCGCACACATTTTGTTCTCATAAAAGCAAAAAAGAGGGTGAACTAATTGTACAGTATCTGACGAAACCTGAGCCGAGCCTTTAGAGAAAGAGTAGAAAAGCGCTGGACAACATGATACTGGATCTGACATTTTTTTTATAATAGCAGTCCTGAAATTAAGGGTCCAAACTGGGTTTCAAATGGTGGGTGGAGTCCCAGTAATCTCCATGTTGAACAATGTGTGTGATGCTGCTTTGTTCCCACACCAGTTGCAGCACATTCCCAATTAATTGTTCTTTTATCTAGGCAGAAGTAGACCAGCAGCTCCCGTGTTCTGCAAGGTTCAATTACTGCTTTTGTCAATTAAGTCTGAACACAGACAAGTTTGAGTTAGAAAGGGCATTTTGGGAAATATTAAGCATGCAACTTGGATTTTACTGCACATGATGTGTGAGTTTGTTAACGGATGTTTAACACAGTTTTGCTGTTGTTAACCCTTCGACACCTGAGTTAATTAGCTTGATTTCTTTGAAAAACATGGGAAGAGGGTAACGAGCAGAGAGAAGAAATTAGCAAGAAATTAGTAAAAAGAAAAAAAGAAAAACGAGGAAATAAATAAAGTTGAACGCAATCAAACAAGAAAATGACTTGGAAAGAGTGCTTAAAAATTAATTAAATTAATATTCATAATAATAATTATAAATGTAGCTTTTTCTTGGCTTTTTTCTTTTTTGCGCCTATTTTTTTTTTTTCTAAAATAATATCCTTTTTTTGGGGGGGGCAATTTGTGTTTTACATTAAGTTGTATGCAATTATGAAAATAAAAAAGTTTTATAACAATTTGACAACCATTTACCGTCAAAAAAAGGATTTTTTTTTTACAGTGTGCAGCTCTGCCCCCCTTTAATAGGTTGCAAATTAGTTGCAAACAGTTTAAGCAGAGTGTTCTTTCAGGAAATTACCCAAAAACTTTGCAAGAAATTAGTCAAAACAGAGAATTAAAAACAAGAAAATTTGTTAAAAAAAAAAAAAAGAAAAGAAAGTTAAAAACAATCAAACAATAAAAAGACCTGGAAAGAGTGATTAAAAATTATAAAAATTCTGTACCATAATTTTAAAATGTAATAATAGTAATTATTATTATTATTATTATTAGAAATATAGTTTTCCCCTAGCTTTTTTTTTTTTTTTTTTTTTTTTTTTCCAAATTTTACCAAAATAGCTCTTTGCCCTTTTCCCTGTGTTTTTGCAAGAATCACACCAATCTGGTCAGGGTTCGAAGGTTTACATACTTGTAAGGTGTGTCTGAAAGCAGCACAAGAAAAGGGTTATATGTGGTCCCCTATGACTTTGATTCATCGAGAATTTTCTCAGTTTCTTGAATTCCTTGCTCACTGTGGAGGCATGCAAGAAAAGCAAAGTTCTCTTCGCATATTCAACCTAACTCAGGGTGAGTTATCAATACACAAATGGTCATTTGAGAGGTGAAGTATTTCTTTAACAACAGGTTGTAACTGCACCTAGCTCTCTGCTCTGCATGTTTTCATAACAAGCAGTAGCCCTGAGGTATCCACAGCAGGCCAACGTGTTGCAGCAAGTCTGAGCTTCGAGCAAAAAGGCACAACCAACACCTGAAACAGTCCCTATAACCTGCACAAACACAAACACACTACCTGAATCTCTGCCTCAGTCCACTCACCACAGTGACAGCATCATTGAAGAGGCATTCTCCAAACACCACAATGTAGAGCTGCTCGTTCACAGACACGTCCTCAAACACGCTCAGCACAGCCACAGGGTCCACGGCCGAGATGATGCTGGCGAACAGTAGGTTCTCCTGCAGGTTGATGTCCTGCACGCCAAACGCCTCAATCTGGCATATGGCGAACAGAGACATGCCGATGCCGATGCTGTTCCACAGAGTCCCCACCACTGCAAACCAAAACACCTGCAAACAGAAATGTTAGAGTTTCTCTTTGAGATGAATGAATGAAGATAAATCTGTTTTGGGAAAGCTGTGGTTTGGGGAACTTGTAACTGACCGTGCCAATGTTCTCAAAGAAAGGCCTAGTGGGCATGAAGTAGCCCGAGTCCAGGACAATTGGGGGCAGCATGTAGAGGAAGAAGACGTTGGTGGTGAGCACAGCAGGGGGCTCCTCGTGGACAGAGTGCATGATGCCACCCACGATCAGACCAATGCTGATCAGAAGACATGACTCTGGCACCCAGATGGTGATCTTGTGATACACATGGAAACCTGAGAGAAGAGATGTGAGGTCAGTTCAAAAACAGGAACAAGGCTGCATGTAAAAAAGCTCAATAATAAATAAAATAAAACATCAAATTAGGGCGTCGGTGGCTTAGTGGTGGAGCAGGCGCCCCATGTACAAGGCTGTTGCCGCAGCAGCCCGGGTTCGGGTCCAGCCTGTGGCCCTTTGCTGCGTGTCTCTCCCTCTCTCTCTCTCCCCCCTTCACGCTTCACTGTCCTGTCGATTAAAGGCAAAAAAATGCCCTAAAAAATATCTTTAAAAAAATAAATATATAAATAAAACATCAAATTAAGTTTGTTTTAAATTGTTATTTTTTATTTACAAGTTTATTTGACATTATTTAACTTAAAATAAACTTATTCTATTTTGAATCATTTTTATTTTATCTTAAATTTCATAATAGGAATAGGAATAATATTTTTATTATATTTAATTTTGAATGAAATAATAAATCTAAAATAAATAATAAATAAATTCATTTTAAAATCATACATGTAATAATCAATAAAATAAAAAAATAAATTGAGTTTTTTTTCAATTATTTTTTATTAGTTTGTTTGAAATTATTAAATTTAAAATAAACTTTTTTATTTTAAATTTACTAATTTACTTCATTTTAAATTTCATAATAGGAATAATATTTTTATTGAAAAATTGAAATAATAAATTGAAAATAAATAATGATGAATAACTAAATAAATAAATAATGCATGCAATAATAAATAAAATAAAATCAAGTTTATTTCATACTATTATTTTTTATTTAAAAGTTTATTTTGAAATTATAAATTTAATGTAAACTTTTTTATTTTAAAGTTAATCATTTATTTTATTTCAAATTTCATAATAAATTCAAAGTATATAATAATAAATAAATGAATTGTAAAAAATAATACATTTCATAATGAAATACAATACAGTTTATTTTAAATTACTACTTTTTTATTTAAAAGGTCATTTGCATGCAAGTTTATTTGACAGGGACCAGGTAGAGCAAATTCCAACACTTAAAATCTGATGCATTCTACTGAGATATCCAAAATATTATTTTCTTCCACAGTCCCTGAGTCAAATTAAAAAAAAAAAAAAAAAAATTGACAAAATAATCACAGAGCTGGATCTTAACCCATCAGCAGTTTGAGCATATGTGACTATACTCACCAATCTTTGCGAATGAGGCCAGCAGCACCCACAGAGTAATCTCAAAAGGTATCTGTATTCTCGGGTAATCCATTGTAAACACTGGTAAATTTGCCTTCTCCGCGTCTGGAAAGGCCTGAGGGCCATTATCAGGCTTAACGGGGGGCAATATGGTGACACTGCCGGTTGGTTTGGGAGGGATTTCTCCTCTGGAGCCATATGGAAGACTTAGAAATGTCAAAATGATGAGTAAAACTCCTTGTCTCCTGCTAATGCTTAAATCCATCGTGCACAAAAACCACAGCTCCAACACAGTAATCCAAACTGATGCGAGTATCAATCACTCCATTGAACTTCAGAGCCGAATAAAGAAAAACAGTTGAGGTGAGAACAAGCTCAGCTTCTCCTCCAGATGTTTGTGATTTTAATTTCCTCGCATGTTCTCACTCCATCTTCAGCAGTGAAGCCTTATTTAACTTTTCCTCAGAGCTCCAGGAGGTTGTGTGATCCGGCTGGAGTCTCCTTCAAACTGCAGAACAACACACACCTGTGGTTTACCTGCAGCGCGGCCACGAGTTCCGATACAGGCTGGGCGCGGCCCCGAGCCCTGCTCTGATTAGGTGTCACCTGGAGCACATATAAAGGGGTGGGGCGCGGTGCTACTGCGGGCCATTCAGTCTTAAGGCCAATCTTAAGTTTCGGTGATTCCAGTTTCCTGAGCCACACTGGTTTCAACTTTCACCTAACACAGACTTTTATCTGATGTATCTGAAGTGCTTTAGGAAGTGCAGACTGCAAAGGTTAATGGATTTTAATGAGGCCATTTCACTAAAATGTGAAAACCTAAAGCATATTTTAGGAGTCAGGTTGATATAAGTCAGTTTCTTCTCAAATTCAGTGATGACCTTTCCAGCTATTCCTGAATAATATCCCACTTAATCTTGTCTATTTTTGTTTCCACATCTTTACTCTTACCCTGACTTTAAGGACAAGACACTGACCCTTACATGGCCCCTTAATATTTAGAACATGTTCATTTGTCTCCCCCAATAAAAAACATGAAAGTGGTAAAGGACTTAAATGTATTTACACCACAAATTGATGCAGAAAGGGCACAAATTGTTGCACAGAAATGAACCAGAATGCTGGAAATATAGTGTTTAATGCTCAAAATTCTCTGGCAGAGGACCTCTAAACCTCTTGTTTCATATGTGGTTTTGCATTTTCCAGTCGGCCACCATAGTTAGCAGCCCCTCTACTACAAGCAGCGATGGAAAAACACAATTTTTTGGACACAAAACTGATTTATTCAGTGTTTTTACCATGATGATTTGGCTCCCAGTAAAAATCTCCCGAACATCTGTATCTTAAGTTATCAGAGAAACAGCTATGCAAGCACACAGGTGCTAAGATAGCGGTCTGTCTCTGATGGGCCAAACAACAAAGGAGAAACACTAATTTGTCGTGAAACTGCTTCAGTCAGTGTTCTAACTGGTTTAAATCATCTGGTGGGTTTGCTTTGGAGAGGAAGAGACCTCTACCAATAATGATGATTTAATGTCTCATCATTTTGACTTAACCTCCTGAGACCTGAACTTTTGTTTGGTATGCATTTTTAATTTCTCTTAACTATTAGGGGAACAGTAAGACCTGATAAGTATAAAAAATAAAACACTGTCAACGGTAATAAAGTCCCAATGTTCTCAAACGAGTACTTCTTTATTAACAGCGCCTTATCTTGTAACTGTTGCTAAATTTGGTCAAATTTGTTGCTGTATCAAACTACAAAAATTCTTAATCATAAATAAACAAGTTTCAACCATAAATGTGATCAGGTTTTGGACCTTGTCCACTTTTGTGTCAGGATCAGCTGCAGGCTGACTTGGCAGAGATGGCTGCCATCTTGTTTTTACATGGATTAGTGTAATGTGCTCTTACTACTAGTAGATGGCACAAAAATTGTCCATGAACGAGTTGAGTAGAATGAAGTGTAAGGTCAAGTAAACCTAAAATGTGATGTCATCATATGAGGACACAGGGTCTCAGGAGGGTAAAGGTTGCCATGGAAGGAGCGGCTGAATCTCTTATCTTATTTTATTTTATATAAAAATAAGTCTCCTTCTTCTGTGGATTGAAAAAAATAATGCAATACTCTCCCCCAATATCTAAGGTGATGTAGGCCTATTCATGACAATAAACATGCCAGAATAATTGTGACTTCATGTATTATATTCATCATTTCTCTCTTGTGCTTTCAGTAGGTTACTTAACTGACAGAGATGTTGTTATTTTGCTCAATGTACAAACCCCCACGCTTCCTCCATGGACGTTCAGTCCTCCACCCACCCACAGCAGCATGTGAGGTTATCCCTGGTGGCACCGTCACTCTGTGCAGACCGAGGCAGCAGCGCCCCCCGGTGGACAGAGGAGGAGCTGCGCCCGGCGGAGGTATTACGTCTCGATGTGTCAGAGGGAGTCAGGGCGAGTCTTGACTGCAGACATCGTCGAGTAGCAACCAGGATGCGCATCAATATGAAGAGAAACCTTCGCATTTCTCCAAACGGTATGATATATATTATATTGATAACGTGTTTCTAATGTGGCATGTGATCATGTGTCGGTTTGTGGAGGGCGTTTGTTCCCACTGATGGATGCTGTGGCACAGAGAAAACAGCACCTCGCAGCAGGGGCAGAATAGGACGTGTTTACAGCCTCAGCCACAAATGTCGATTTATTATCTGCTTTTATTCTCGGTGTGTTTGTATGAATGGTGCTGAAGGAAGAGTCCACCCTGCAGCAGCAGCAGCAGCAGCAGCAGCAGCAGCAGCCTCTCTGGATGAGCATCAGCAGAGACCATGACGCAATAGTTGTTATTGTGAATAAATACATATCTACACTTTGAGTATAACGACACTATTATTGGCCAGTGGTGCCATAAATAGATTCCCATTGGACAGCTCTGCCCTCTCCTCTGTGTATGTGCACGCAGCAGGGCTGGAACACACAGGATGACACCCTGTTTCCTGCAGCTTTACACAAGGCCAGGGGAGTGTTGATGTGGGATTATAGAAAATAATGCTACATATGTGCTTTTATTTTTTTTATATATATACTTGTTACATGTAAAACCGGATGTGTTGCTCATGAAACAGCGTGACACGCATTGCAGGCCTCCCAGATGCTCCCAGCAGAGCGGAAAGGATTAGATTTGATCTGTTGAATCATTGTTTTCACTCTTTTCATAACACAGAGGAAACAACTCACCTCTAACTGTATGCATTGCCTATGTTTGATGATTTTTGAGGGTTAATCTGAAGATTCATGAACTTAAATGAGCCCTCTGTGTTTCCATACCTACAGTATAAGTGTGTGATCCTGTGGCATCAATGATAAGAGTTCATTCATCATCATCATCATCATCATCATCGAGGGTTCCTGTCTCCTGCTCAGTTTACCGCTGTCTGGGTAACAAGAGCTGCTTCATGACTTCACTTCCTTTTCTTGTCTGTGTGTGTGTGAGTAAACTCGTTTGCATAATCTCCCCCTCTTTGATCAGTTAGATCAGAGAGCAATTTATGGATCAGTCTCTGTGGATGTCGTCCATGTGTCCATGGTTACGCCAGACATTTCTACATCAGGTAGACGGTTTGCAGATCAAGGGACAATGGCAGATGGGCCCCGCTTAGGTCTGAGCTGAAGCAGGATCAATAGACTGGAACTGAGAGGTACATGGGGGTTACAGGGGGACACGGGGAAAGGGGAGATGGCTGGAGCACAGAAAGAAGAAGGGGAGGGTTGATGACAGAGCAGAAGAAGGAGAGGCATTTGGGAGAGATTTAAAGGGATGAGGAGGAGGTGAGTTAAGGATGAGGACATCTGAGAGGGAGAATGAGAGGCACTGCAGTGCAGCCGGTGCTGACAGCATCTGCAGGGGGCCAGCTGTGTGCCGCCAGCCTGACTAACTGGGTCATTTTGGTCTCCAGACCGCCCCAGAGGACTGTCTATACCATGAGGACCACCTGAATCCTCTCTGTCCTCTCACCACATCACATGTTTCATCACTGCATGTATACAATCTTTTATCCTTCTGGAAGACCAAACTTACCTGATTTGGCTTTTTGAGGTCAGAGGTCACCTACAGAGGAGCAGCTGCTGGTCAGTATTCAGCCTTTTGCTCATGAGTGGATACTTGCTGTTACTAGGTCTGAACCCAGAAATCTATAACATCTAACCACGCTGCAATTCATTATCTGTCGATAAGAGCTGGAACTATTAGTTGGTGGACAGAAAATGAATCAGCAACTATTTTTATGATCAAATAATCACTTCATTTTTCATGGAATAATATCAAACATTCTCCAGTTCCAGCCCAGTCGCCAGTAGAAAATGTTGGCAGTGTATATTTCTGCAAACCACGAATACATTTGCATGTTCATACGTATAAAGTGACGTAGTATATGAGCTGAGGAAGAGGTCCAGTTTGTAGGCCTCAGAATTGCATCTCTGCTTTTTGCAGACAATGTGGTTCTGTTGGCTTCATCACACCGTGACCTCCAGCAGGCACTGGGTTGGTTTGCAGCCGAGTGTGAAGCAGTCATTGAGAGTCAGCACCTCTAAGTCTGTGGCCATAGTTCTCTGTCAGAAAACGGTGGTTGGAGGAGAGTTACTGCCCCAAGCGAGGGAGTTCAAGTATCTTGGGGTCTTGTTCATGAGTGAGGGTAGAATGGAGCATGAGATGGATCAATGGTGGTGAAGAGGGAGCTGAACCGAAAGGCAAAGCTTTCGATTTACTGGTCCATCTACGTCCCAACCCTCACCTATGGTCATGAGTTCTGGGTAGTGACCGAAAGAATGAGATCGCGGATAGAAGTGGTTGAAATGAGTTTCCTCTGTGGGGTGGCTGGGCTCAGCCTTAGAGATAGGGTAAGGAGCTCGGACACCTGGAGGGAGCTCGGAGAAGGGCTGCTGCTTTTTCGTGTTGAAAGGGGCCAGATGATGTGGTTCGGGCATCTGATCAGGATGCCTCCTGGGCACCTCCTGTTAGAGGTGTTTTGGGCACGTCCCACTGGTAGGAGGCCCCGGGGCAGACCCAGAACATGCTGGAGGGATTACATATCTCGTCTGGCCTGTGAACGCCTTGGGGTCCCCCAGGAGGAGCTGGAAAGCATTGCTGAGGAGAGGGACATCTGGGGTGCTTTGCTTGGCCTGCTGCCGCCGTGACCTGGCTTTGGATCAGCAGTTGAAACTGGATGGATATATGAGCTGACTTTGTCATCTGGAGGTGGAGGAGATGATCGATGATGCAGGCAAGACACCTGCCAAGCTGCAGACCACTACAGACCAAACATTTGAGACAAACAGATAACAAATAAGGTTGTGTTTTAATGAGTCATTGCTGTTTTTCCAGCAGCTTGTTAGCCGCCACAAGTGGGTGTTTTTTAATGACCTGTTGCTGTGTTACCACCGGTTATAATTTTCCTGAAAAGCAGTTGTTTATTAACATAACCATAACCAAGTGGTTTTTGGGAGTGGCGGTTTCTAGGAAGTTGTGATCACGGGGGAATTAGGAGACAATGGGCCCCTGGGCAAAGATATACCAAAGCTCTCCCTCCACCTCTCCTGCAAAGGATCAAGACTTGCAGACTCTCTGGTGGCTTTACCACTTTTTTGTTGTTGTTTTTGTTTCCTTGTTGTCCTTTTGTTTCTCTTTGAGGTCATTTTGTGTCTCAGTGTGGTTGTCTCTTACCTCTTATCAACGTGACATCATTTGTGGATTCCTTCAAATGAAAAGCAAAGACCACAAATTCTAAAAGGAAGCTTCCTTAAGTTTCAACCTTAAAGGAGCTGCATGAGACATCCAGATATCTATAATTCAGAGATGCCATGTCTGCTGAGGCTGTCGCTGTGTTCACACATTGGTGCATAGGATGCGTGGTCACTGAGGGAGGTTGTGTTCCTCTGTCTCCTCGAGGAGCTTCTGGGGGAATTTTTGTGTCTTTTTGAGATCATTTTGTGTCTTTTGTGGTCATTTTTCATTTATTTGTAGTCCTTTTGTGTCTTCTTGAGATCATTTGGGTCTTTTTTGGTCTTTATTTACAGTGGTTTTGTGTTTTTTTGCAGTTGTTGGCCTGTTTTTGTCGTTATTTTGTGTCTCCTTGTGGTTGTTTTTTGTTGTCTCTTTGTCGTCGTTTTGTGTCTTTTTGAGATTATTTTGTGTCTGTTTTGGTCATTTTTCATGGATTGTCTTGCCCCTTTTTTAGTTATTTTGTGTTTCTTTGCTGTTCTTAGGCTTTTCATTTTGGTCATTTTGAGTCTCCTCCTGGTCTATGTTCATTTGTGTTACATTTTGCAGATGAAGGCCGGGGGGGCTTGACACTCTGGGCCCCTGGGCCTGTGCCTGGTAGGCCTGATCAGTAATCCATTCATGACTGGGATGAGCATTTTTTGTCATTTTTGGGCATGTTACAGAGCAATCAATTAATCAGTAAGTGAAGAAAATAATCAGCAGATGGACTGATAATAAATACAATTTTTCTATTTTGATTCACTTTGTGTGGTTAATATTTATTTTGATTAGTCTTGTATATGGAAAATGGAAAAGGGGATGTCTTGTTTTGTTTAACCAACAGTCCAAAATCCAAGGATATTCCAATTATGATACAAAACAAAGGAAAAAAGAAGCTGGAACAAAAGAAAATTTGCCATTTCTTGCATTAAACAGTTCCCCAAAATTGCTGTTAATCAATTTTCCATCTGCTGATAAATCAGTTAATTGACAGAATGTTTCAGCATCACTCCCGGCCATTGTGTCTCCCCATAAACTGACCGCATGTGGCTGACAGTCAGACAGATGTGATGATGATGATGATGATCCGTCACTCTCTGTGGCTTTACATTAGATCCACTGTGGGTTTCCTAGAGAGCAGCAGGATGAAAGCTGAAGTGTTTGGGGCTACATTATCTGCTCAGATTCAACCAAATGCTTCAAAACTCATTGGACAATGCTTCACAGTGCAGTTGGACATTGACCTGAAGCATACTGCAAAAGCAACCAAAGACATTTTTAAGGCAAAGAAGTGGAATGTTCTGCAATGGCCAAGTCATATCATCTGACCTGAATCCAACTGAGCATGCGTTTCTCTTGCTGAAGCCAAAACTGAGGGCAAAACACCCAAAACACAAGCAGGAAGTGCAGACGGCTGCAGTAAAGGGCTGGCAGAGCATCACCAGGGAAGAAACCCAGCATCTG